ATTCTGTTATTATAGCTGTTTCAATTAAAAACAGCTTTAGACCCATAAGACATTTGTTTTAGTTTGGTCTACCTTATAGCACTAACATCAGGAGGCTGCACAATGTTTTCCATGCTCTCTTCTCCAATTTCCCTTCACACAGATTCATGACTGCCTAAGAGGCAACTTCTGTACAGCATTGAAATGATTTTCCTTAACCATCAGGGTTCATAAGTGCTGGTAATTCAATTGAAATGAAGACCAGAAGAGCTGTCAGCAATGTAAACTGTGACTTTTATTGTCATTTCTTAGAACTGTACCACAAAAGGCGCACCACAAACTTTCTGCATAACAAAATACATTGGCTGCATTCCTTAGAGCTTGTTCAATTGCTTGCATTCCACTTTCCAAGGGGAAAGGCCTTTCATAGAAAGGAGTAAGTCATTCACTTGTGCTGTGGAATAGCTGCTGCCAGAAGGTGAACTAGCAGCAACAGTGATGGAAGCCAAAGACACTCCATACCCGCTAAAGAGTTCTCAGAAATGCAAAAGTATATAGTTTTATATAGAAAAATACAACACCATACAGCTTTGTTGGACAACATCTGCAACATTAAGAGCTTCTTTGAACCTCCTTGTGTTTAAACCACACTTGGCAAGAGTTCCTTCTGACATGTGTTGATTGAGAATAATTGCTAGCTTCTCTGGCTGTAAGCCACAGCACACCATCAATGAAGTGGTGGATACCCCTTTTCAAGATGGTGTTCATAGTTTCTCACTTGCCCACAAACCCATTCACATTTGGGCTACCCAGATATTGAAACCAATATTGGAATCAACAATACCTTTTAGGCAGAGTTACTTCAACCTTCCTTAACCTGGACATCTTTCACATGTGTAGACCTTAGCTTCAAAACTTCTCAGCCAGTCATGCCTGCTGAGGAATTCTGAGTGGTAATCCATACATCTGGAGGATATATCGATTTAGGAAAGTCAGAATCCTTTGTGAATGAATGGAAGCAACCTCTTATGGAGAAGAGGAAAAAGCACTGGAACTGGAAAAAGATTCTATTATTTTGCAATAGTGGCGAATATCTGTAGCTCAGTTGTAGGATGAGGGTTTGTTTCCGAATGTTTCATTACCAGGCTAGATAACATCTTCAGCAGTGTTTAGTGAATGTCTGTGTCAGGGTGATGGGCCAGGTGTAAGTCATCAGAGAGAGGCTATACCTCCCCATCACAAGCCTCTCTCTGATGACTCACACCTGGCCCATCACAAGACCCTCACTTGACACTCACACACCTGAAGCCCTTATATAAGTAGAACACTGACACAGACATCCCCTAAACCAGGGGTAGGCAACCTTGGCTCTTTTATGACTCGTGGACTTAGACTCCCAGAATTCCTGAGCCAAGGTTGCCTACCCCTGCCCTAAACAATGCTGAAGATGTTACCTAGCCTGGTAACAAAATGTTCAGAAACCAACCCTCAAGCTCAGAGAATGAACCTTCACCCGCAGATTCTATTCTGTTGCTTATGAATATTTCTTGATAGCCATATTTGCTCAGCCTCTTGTCTTTCAGTTGACATAACTAGGGATGCTGCCAAGATTAGATTTTAGAAGCAGAGATAGGCGAAACATTGAATTACTAATTTACCAATTCTTTTTTCCATGGCTTAAATTTTCCTAAGTTTAAATTCAGCCTCCGAAGTGTCTGTCAACCAACAAGGAACTCCCGTGTGTACCGTGGAACTCACCAAATACAGTATATTTCTTTTTAAACCAACTTCCTCAGTTTTGTGAATTTGAGGAAAATATTTTTGGTATATTTCTCAAACAATATGGACTCATGTGATTATTTTTCACCAGTGCTCTTCTGGAGTCTAGTCAGATACTTTCATTGCAGTATTTCAATTACTCCTGTTATGTTATAAGCAATTAAATTTTACTTTGGTGATTTGGGGAGCGGCCCCCATCTCTGCTGCTTCTAAACCTGAAAAACTTATTTCAACATAACGTATTGTTCTGAGTGACACTGTTCTTGAATCCATCCCAGAAACAGTTTCACTCCATAAAACCTCTTTCATCCCACTGAACAATGACACTGGGGTGGTTCCCCCTCCCCCCTGCACACACACCACAAAGCAGTGACAATATGGGCCTCGCTTTTGGGCAACACATCAGGCTTCTGGATGAGAACATCTTTAAAATCAGATACAAGCATGAGACAAAAAAGGAGAATGTGTTGAAGCAGACAACTCAAGATTCAAATAAGTAGTATATGGCAGAAGTTTAAGGCAACCGAAGGAATGATAATATGGTTTTAATACCATGTTCTCCTACCCAGCCAGCCTCATTTATCTGTTTACATGGGTCTTTATTTGATTTCAGACTATTATTTCACAATACAAGTAAATTTGTGGAACACCAAATCTTAGACTGATATTACCTGGTATTTACAATAGGCAATTTTTGATGGTATACAACAGGTAAACTTCTAATAGCAATTCATAATCCAAGAATTGTGCTGGATTTGTTTGGGCTGGGACAGTTGGAAGCTTTTTATAGTTTATCCAGTGTGTTACACGTTTTATTATTGCTGTGCATGAAGCAAATTTTGGGTAGATTTGGGAGACTGATCAATCTCTCTGCATATACCCTATGTGGCATTGTGAAAGGGGAGAACCCTTCTGAATTTATGCCAGGCAGCTGGAGAAATTCAGACTGTGAAACTGGGTCTCATCCTTTCTGACAAATATCTTCCCAAGAAGAGCTTTCTTTGCACGGATATGGATGAGTCACTCCTGTCAGTGCTCCAGATGATGCAATAAACAGCTTAGCAAGTAGAAAGGACAATATAACACATGGCAATATCACATTACTTCAAGCTTGCATCATCCAACAGACCCAACATGACCTACCAGATGGGAGAAAAAGTTTATCAAAATAAAGACCCGTGGCACGGTGCTTCACTGAAGGTAGACAATTACTAAGCTGTGTCAACCCACTGGAATTTATGAAGAGAAAAATATCAGTGCATTGACACTGCTATTTGTACTGCTATCCAAAGGAAGCAGCAACAAGTTCACCAAAGATGTAAATATCTCAGTGCCCACATGCTGGCCAACTTTTATCATCATCATTTGACAGCTGATTTATACAATCCTTACTGACCCAACAAAATACCCATCATCTGATTTTGGCATCACCTGACACCCCCCTAAGTAAAATATTGTACTAATTTTTAAAAAATAAAAATATCCTTTGTGTGTGTGCAAAGAGATACGTATATTTATATATTTGTGTGTGTGTGTGTGTGTGATGTGTGTATGTTTTCAGTTAGAAAAATACCATATATCAAAATATGGCAATACTATGGCTATGATTACAAAATCTCACAAATATATATATATTTAAGGCAATATGCTATGAATCTTTTTATTTTGTTTGTGAATGCACTTCTCCCAATAGTGGCTGAAAATTACTGTGCCACCAGAACAATTCCTGATAAAGGAGAAACTCTGCCCCTTTCCCACCACAAAGAAGTCCATGGCTGCTGTCCTCTGAGACAGGAAGTTCTCCTCCTGAAAGTGCTGCAAATATGTCAGGAGGAGAATTTATCCACAAGTCATGCAAAATCTCCAGGTACCCTGGGACCAGAGATCAGAAAAGTTAGCCATCTAGAACACTGACAAGCATCGGGGTCTTCCAGAGAACTATACTATGGTCTAGTAGAAAATGTCACACACCAGCAAATGCTTTGCATGGCATGTTGCCAGCATAGGAAGACCTATCTACTTCTAGGTCCTAAAGATAAAATCTCCCTTGGCTTAGTGATGCCACAGAAGCATCTGTATTATTTTCATGGGAACAAGCTGAAAGTGGTCTGCCATTGTGATTAGGGATGTTTTCGTATCTTCCCGGCCTATAGAATTTCTGCTGGGCTCCTACTCAAACACAAACCAGGTCCCATGTTAACTAGTTTCAATCAAGGCTGATTAACTGCTGCCACAGAGTGGCCTACTGCAGGTGGTATTTGCATATTTCGTTTCATAGGAGACTGCAAAATAATTACGTGCAGATACATGGATAGTAAAATAAGCATTTGCTGTATGCATATATCCTAGTCTATTACGTGCAAGTCTTGTGGACCTAACCAATGGCTGAAGGGACCCCTAAAGCACAACGGTAAAGAGGTAAGGAGGCAAAGATGGACCTCAAAACTCTTGGTGGAGATTGAAATCCTCAATTCTCTTGGGGAAGGAACGGAAGAAAATGTGTTGGTTATTGAGACACACGTTTCTGACAGTCTGGCACCCTGAAGCCCACAGTGAAGAAGCAATATGTAAATATTTCTATTTTTTCCAATCTACTAAAAACGGGCAATTACTCATAATCCATTTTTAAGTTATAAATGCTACACTGGATTTTTTTTTTGCTAAGAGTACAGGGTGGTTGGATTCATATATTGCTCTTAATTGGCAGCTGAATCAACCTACTCCTGGATTTGCAGAAAGCCGCTACAAACTAAATAAGGGACTCCGTTATGAAATATGCTAACAAATAATAACAAATAATCAAGGTTAAAATTAACCAAGCTTTTGCATGTTGTGCAGTTACTAGAAATAGTGTTGCGCAAGACCAGTCACAGACCAATAGTGTTGCGCAAGACCAGTCACAGTGCTGCAGGGAAAATGTATTGGATAGCATTTTCTCCTATCTCTGTTCTATGGACGTTCCTTCCTTCCCCTCGGTGTGCTTAGACAATGGAAGGGTTGACAGTCTTACAATGGAGCCACCTAAAAAAGATCCCACGGTGATCTCCTCTTTGGAGATAGGAGGATGGCAGCTAAATGGAGCTTTTGTTACAACCTATTGCAGACATAAAATCAGAGCATTCCCCTTGAAAGTCACACTTGTTCATTGATCTAACACTGAAACAAGATAGAAATCTTTCCCCTTTCCAGAAAAGGGAAGAGGAACATCTCATGATACATGGAAGCAAAAGTTTAGTTAAAAAAAATACTGGAGCAGGGAAGCACCTTTGCAATGCAGAAATAACTCTCTCCTCTTATTATGTTCAATAGCAACAAAACGAAACAAAAAACCTGAAAAAGAAGCTGTTTTAACCATATGTAAGATGTGCATTTGCACGATTGTCTATACATGCAGTTTGAAAGGAAGCATTAATTTCTCTTTTCGAAAAGCACTGAAATCAAAACCAAAATAAAACATAAATTGACTTTTATATTTTCAAAAATACATTAAACATATACTCTTTTCTGCAATGTGCATATTTTTATATTCACTCTCTCTCACACATGCTTTCTTTCTCTTTCTCTCTCTCTCTCTCTCTCTCTGAACTTAAGGTACTTTTGGTCAGCAAATCCTATTGCTACATCCTCATTTTTTTCCCTTTTGAAACAACAAAGATTCCAGAAAGTTTCCCAAACCACCTAACATCTGTTTGGGGATTTTTTTGTTGTTGTTCATTTGCTTGTTTTGGTTCAGGTGGGTTTTTTTTTTTTGGTAAACTTTATAAATAGCACAAAGATATTCCATTTGGATCAAAAGCTTACATACTTTTTTTTTGTGAGGGGGGAGATCACAAGATGGATTCATTGCATCTCAAGTTGCTTTCATCCTCTGAGCAACTTTTCTACACAGATATCCTTTGGGTTAGTTATTGCTTATAGCTCTGTCTTTGATGTCACCCACTTTGGAGGGTGCATTTCTTTGGCTTGACATGGCACAACCAATGGGAATGGAGAAGAAGAACTAACACGATTATTCTCACAAGGGGAAAAACTAAACTGCAAAGGTGATGCAAAAATCTGTGGTATGCATAGCACAGAAGAGCTCCGATAAGGCAAATAAAAAAAAAAAATACAAGAGATACGTCTATATTCAGAGTAAACATTGTGCACCCTTCTTGTGAAACAAGAGGTTCTCCAAGTTGGCTGCTTTCAAAAGAAGAGACCAGGTCTTCTAAATCCAACTGATTTTTAACCGAATCAAATTCTGCCTCCCGGCAAACATCGATGCTGAAGAGCCCGCAAATAGGATAAGCTTTTATAAAAGTGCAACAGTTTACAAGGCCTTGATTTTTTTTTTTAGTATCCTGGGGAAACCATTGAGCGGGGAAATTCCTGTTTGGCACACCAGTTTTTGGAACTGGAAACACTGCGTTGTCTTGCTATAGCACCCAATGTCAGCATCAGACAACAAATTCTGGAACGTCTTCATGGGCAAGGTCCAAGGAAAAGTATTTGCTGGCTCTTTTGACGGGAAAAGCGTTTTGGATATTGATGCACTGCTGAGCTAAACAGCCGTTGCAATACAGACCCTCTTCAGCCAATCCATGGCCACACCCAAATGTATAACTCTGTGCTGTCTCTTGGCATAGGCTCGCCAGGCGCAAGAAGTCTTTTTGGTAGAGCCGAATGTCATCCAGACTTAGGCTGTGGCGATCAGTGGAGGTCCTTGGCTTCTGACAGATGCTCTGTAGAAAATAAGGAAAGTTTTAATTTGCCCTTCCTTATTCTGAGTCCCTCAAGTTGTATGGAACAATTCGTTTTATCTCTGTCTGGTAGGTTCTTTAAATACAATTTGATATTGATCTAAATATCCTGAGGTTTTGTTGTTGCTGCTGCTGTTGACGGCTCTTCAATCTGACTGGGAAAAGAATGATCTTTCCCCAAATTTAGCCTCTTCTCTCAGGAGAGTAGGAACTTGAGAAGACACACAGGCTGAGTTCAAACAATACATTAACTTGTAAACATGGGCTGACAAAGCACAATCACTGTAATCACATCACATGTTGGTTTCAACATGTTGAAACTTAGGTATTGCATACAAAATTGTACATAGTAACGCTTCATCTGTAAATGACTTTTTTTTAGCTTTAATCATAATGTAATGTGTGCAAACAACCCCTTTAAACTTAATGTTAACTGCTCTAAACTCGATTGTAAAAAAATCAATGTTTGTAACAGAATTCTCAAAGTCTGGACTATCTTATCTGATTCATTTATTTCAGCTATTAACTTTCACAGCTTTAATTCCAACTTAACTTCTGTGGACCTCTCTCCATATTTAAGGGGGCGTGCATAAGTGCACTGGTGTGCCCATTGTCCCTGTCACATTTTGATTTTCTTATTTTCTTTGTTTGAATTCCTCAAACAATTTTTTGTTTGATGAATAAAAATAAGTAACAAACCCTATTTTGTGGGTGAGTCCTTCACACAACATACTAAGATAAAAACTGTATTACTATAAGACACTGATCCACCAACAACTGAATTACATTTTAGCCTAGACTGACTTTTTGTGCAAACTCAGCCAAACAATTTTCATTGAGATTTTTGGATTATCCCAAAGCTTAAAGTGCCTGATAAGGTGCTTGTCAAACAATAATCCGGTGTATTTGTTTTACTTCTCCTTTTTTTGCCTATAGTTAAGGTATTGTATTGCAAACAGACGAAAGTAGAAGACAGCATTAAAACATCATGTGATGCTTGAAATGTAACAGATAAATGAAAACATATGGAAGGGATTTTTCTACCATTCCCAAAACAGTGGTTTTGCTTCCATTCCTTTTTATGACTAGCTGCCATTAAAATGCTATATTCTGTCATGGACATCCACCCATTCAGTCTGATTTGGTTTTTCCCATCTATTTCACAAACCTGTGGCAATGAATCAATGCTCTGGCCACGAAGTTTTACCACTGTCTCTGAAGAGCTGGAAGTAGACGAATTCACTTCTTTGACAACTAATCCTGAGTTAGGTGACAAAAAAAATAAAAACCAAAAGAGGTGAGATGTTTTCCTGATTCAATCAGCATGTAGTTTTTATGGTATTGTAAGTATTGCACAGAATACAGTACATTTAAAGTCCACTTTTGGTATTGGATTGCATTGTAAAATCATATGACTCTGTTATTTTTTAACTGGCCTTTACAGAATTCTAAGTACATCAACAATGAGTCAATGAAATAAACAGAATTTTCCTTAACCAGGTGCTCTCCATATGTGCAGACTTCAATTCCCATGTTAACTAGGGATTATGAAATCATTTTTCTGGAGGATCCTGTGCAAGGAAGGCTGTCCTTGTTTAATGAAGAGAAGGATGAGGGGTGGCATGATTGCAGTGTTCCAATATCTCAGGGGTTGCCACAAAGAAGAGGGAGTCAAGCTATTCTCCAAAGCACCTGAAGGCAGGACAAGAAACAATGGATGGAACAACTTGCCTCCAGAAGCTGTGAATGCTCCAACACTGGAAGTTTTTAAGAAGAGATTGGACAATCATTTGTCTGAAATGGTATAGGGTTCTCTGCCTGAGGAGGGGGTTGGACTAGAAGACCTCCAGGGTCCTTTCCAACTCTGTTATTCTCTCACCCTGAAAATTATTTGAGCGAAGATGGTCAAAATTCATCCTGATATGGCACAGTTTGGTATATAAAATACAAGATGTTAAAAATTAAGTCTGATACACCTACTCTGCTGGAAACTGCTAACTTGAAATGAATGGTTACTTCTTTATTTATCATTAAATAATTGATATGTTGCATGGAGTGTATATATCTACATTTCTTTGAAGCTTTTGTAATAGTAATAAAAATATTAGGGTTATTCTTTTGTTCCTTACAATAAACTCAGGTATATTACCTGAATGTCCATTAAACTTCCGGGCCATCAGCATGTCCTCTGTGATGTAAATACAAACATCAGGATTGACCTCATCCATAGATGTTTCGCTTGTTGGCTCAAGATCTCGAGGATCATCAACCAGCATCTCTATTTCTGAAACAAAGAGAGAATAAATGCCAGGTGAGAGGAGGAGCTGGAACAGCTACATTGACAAGACTGTGGGTACAACAAAGCATCATCTCATCTTTACAATAGCTATAGATGAATTTGGGAGATCCAGACAAAGCAACACCACTTTTTTTCCTAATGGTTTAGGCCAAAAAAATCTAAAGGGGAAGTACAAGACATAGGGTGCCTTTTCTTTTGTTCCCAGAATGAAAAGCAGCTGCGGGAGGCAGCAATCAAATGCAGAGAAATAACAGAGGAAGCTGATGCACATCCCCCTTTTCCTTCTAGGCTCTTTGTCCCACCAGCTGCAGGACAGGATGAAATCCACATGGAAAGGATTAGTATGGGGCCATTTCTTCACTCGTGATAACTTCCTTCTGGCTTCCACCAAACTTCAATAAAAATAAAAAAGGAAGAAAACCTGACACCTGCTGGGAGAATGCTGGCATGCTTTGTTCATCTTGTATTTTCCCGCTCTTTAATCTTGAGAATATAGCCTGGGATATTTTTAATAATAGGAAATACTAAAGAGATAATGACATAGAAACCGAAGCAGAAGAAGGATGCAAAGTCAGGCCATTGGTCCCTCTAGCTGAGCACTGTCTCTACCAGTTTTCAAATCTTTTCAGGCAGTGGAAATTGATAATTAAAAATTCCACAAAACTCTAATCAAGAGGCAAAGCTCTAGATAAAAACTGACTGTGTTCAAAAATAAACCCCATCAAGTTCTTATGCATCCATAGGTTCTTGCAGAACAGAGTTTGAAAAAAACCTAGTGTATATCAGTCCCTCAAAGATTGGTGGTTCCCTATAGATGTGTTGGACTAATATCCAGAATCCCTTTGATTCTGAGAAATTATGTGAGTTGATACCCAGCATATCAGAAAACTGGTTATGCTAATTGGCAGTGGGTCTCCAGAAACTCAAGCAGAGAAAAGTCATTCCAAAGGCTGTTGCAAAATTGCTTTTCAAATTTGATATTTTGAATTTATTGTTTTAAATTTTTCAATGTCTTTATTGAACTACAATTAACAAACATCATCAAATATTTTTGGTCACCATGATGTTGGGACTCTAGAAAGATGTTGAGACTCTAGAAAGAGTACAGAGAAGAGCAACAAAGATGATCAGGGGACTGGAGACTAAAACATATAAGGAACGGTTGCTGGAATTGGGTGTGTCTAGTTTAATGAAGAGAAGGACTAGGGGTGACATGATAGCCATGTTCCAATATCTCAGGGGCTGCCACAAAGAAGAGGCAGTCAAGCTGTTCTCCAAAGCTCCTGAAGGCAGGACAAGAAGCAATGGATGGAAACTAATCAAAGAGAGAAGCAACCTAGAACTAAGGAGAAACTTCCTGACAGTTAGAACAATTAATCAGTGGAACAACCTGCCTCCAGAAACTGTGAATGCTCCAACCCTGGAAGTTTTTAAGAAGAGACTGGACAACCATTTGTCTGAAATGGTATAGGGTTTCCTGCCTGAGCAGGAGGTTGGACTAGAAGACCTCCAAGGTCCCTTCCAACTCTATATCATCTTCATCATCATCATCATCATCATCATCATCATCATCATCATCATCATCATCATCATCATCATCTCCAAAATGCATAAAGAAAAAAAATATAAAATATATATTTCTAAATCAATAGATGATATAGAAAATACAAAAACATCTACATTATCAACCTTGTGAAAAATAAAGCTTTCTCCTTCCATTATGTATTCAAGATGAACAGTGAATAATATTTATATGTTACTTATATGTAAGGATGTAGGTCTATACATATGTTGTATATAGTATGTTTTAAATGTGTGTTATATATGTGTACACTTTGAGAGGAAGCAACTAAATTTCATTTTTAATGTGTGCCATTGTGCCCACAGGAAAAAATGACAATAAAAGTTATCTAATCTAATCTAAAAAGTAAATAAATAGACAGTACTGTACATGAAAAAATTTATCATCCATGTAAAGTATTACTATATTCCATATTCTGGAACTTGAATCCCAATTCAGGAATCAAACAAACCAACAAACCCAAACTCTATATTTACTGGGCAAAGAATGAACCAAATATGGACAGTTACCATCCTCCTGAGAGGAGTCCTCCTCCAGGCGTTCCTTCTCACTGCTTTCTACTCCAGAGGTATGAGAACTACCATGACTGGTCATAGAGCTGCAAGCCCTCAGCTGGCGATGGACAGCAGCCACCATGAAGTCCTCCTCAGCCCCCCGTTCCCTGGGCTTTGGATCAGTCTCAATTCCAGAGGTGTGGGAGCTGCTATGGCTCGCAGTTGAGTGGCGGGAGAGACGCTTGTGCTTCACACTGCCTGAACTACTTCCGCTGGCTCGGGAACGCTTTTCCAGTTGATCCATATCAAGGTCCAGGGCATCGCTGATGTAGGACTCACGATATTGTTTTTTCTCTGGAAGAATCATACATGAAAGAAGGTAACCCACCCATACTTAACCTATGCACCTGAACTGTTGGCTCAGAACGATGGAGCCTATGTATGGCTTCATGTACAGTGGGTGCTACCATGAAGTCAAGAAATGCATATATTGTTTCAAATTGGCAGATTGCTACCTTCATTCTCCTCTAGCTTCCTGATCTGGCGCAGGAGCGGTTGCAGGTTCATGTAAAGGCGATGGCTATTGCTCAGGAGTTGCAGGAGATGCCGAGATCGCAAAGGACAGCCAGTGTAGTAGGTGAGCTTGCGAGCAGATGGCAGGCCATCAGGCAGAATCTCAAATCTCTTGCCCTGCAAAGACAAGAGGCATGAAGTTCACCAAAGGACAGAGGCTTCAGTTTAGCCTGGCTTTGTAGGGCTTTTCTTGAAGTTCTGTCTCTGGTTGTCTCCATCTCACCGTGTTTGTCATATTATATATGGTATCAAAATGCCTTCACTAAGGAGGATCCAACTTTGGGATTTTCCTACTCACCACAAATACAAGTTTTCCTACGTTCGTCCAAGGGAAGTCATACAGCTGTTGTCTTTCACTGTTTATATTCTGGAAGAGTGAAGAAAAAAGATAACCTGATTATGCTCCACTTATCTTAGAAAATATGCAGCTTTTAAACTGAAGCAATGTGCGCTGCTCACTGAATTCAGCCATCATTTTTCATTTCATAAGTCAAAAAGAAAGTAGATGCATGAGGTTTTCAAATGATTTGCTTGACATGATGCTTGTCACATTGCATATGAGGTACTGCTCGTGCTGTTTAGATTGGACTGGCTGATTAGATTTGGCAGATAACTTTTTTTTCTGTTAAGAGCTGCAGGGATAGACAGCCAGTTTGGTATAGCGGTTAAGATATCAAGCTAGAAACTGGGAGATTGTGAGTTCTAGTCCTTCCTTAGGCAAAAAGCCAGCTACAGTACGTGATCTTGAGCCAGCATCTGGAATGTTTGCCTACTCAGTTACCAACAGCGTATAAAATAATGCAGAAAGCCGCATTCATTCATTCAGTTTGTATTTTTTATTTCTTTTTGGAATAAAAAAATATTTAGCATAAATACTCTTTTCCAATTTTCCTCTAAAACAGCAATTCCCAGGTCTTCAGGTAAGCTGGCTAAGAATAAGGCACTAGTTCAAAGTCATCCAGTGAGCTTCCATAAATGGGGGTGGATTTGAACCTTGTACTTCACCATCTTAACCAGAATATCATACTGGTATATGCTTCAGGTTAGGTTTGCATACGAGCTACAGAATTTCAACAATGAAATTATGACTCTTTTATTTCTTGTTAAATTTGTTTGCTGCCCATCTTGCCCTGGGGCTACTAAAAAGATGAGCGGAGGGGCATCAGGAAGCACGGGGGGGGGGGGAGGTGGGGTTTACTCTATTTATTTACATTATTTACTCAAAATGTTTAATTCACTTAGATAATAAGCTTTGCAGAATTGGGTTCAAAGAACAGTATTTTTAACAACAACAACAAAAAATCCTTCTACTGAGCAGGATGTAGCATGCTGGAGCACTTTTCCAGTGCTCACTTTGCAAAAACTAGGCCGAGAAACATCTTCCTGCTCCGTTACGCTGTTGCAAAAAAAGTAAAAGAAAAGATTCAGCTCAACAGCTGGAGGATGCAACATTTTCCAGATGAAAGGCCGCACTTCAGCTTTGAGTGTGTATGGAATGTATGTTATAGGGCAGGGGTAGGCAACCTCGGCGCTTTTATGACTCATGGACTTCAACTCCCAGAATTCTGGAAGTTGAAGTTCATGAGTCATAAAAGCGCCGAGGTTGCCTACCCCTAGGTGACAGGACCCCCGGAATTATTTCATTTCATTTTAAAATTAAACCCAATATTGTTCTTGGGTCAGGCATTTAATACTTTTCACCTTTCAGAGTTTTAAAAAAAGTAAATTTGAAGGTCTCTGGGTCCACATCTAAGGCTTTGAGGAATTACGTAAGACCCTGGGACCACAGCTTGTGCACCTCTGCCAGAATCCTGGAAAAGAAATGGCCTCAATCATGTCTGGACAGGTAACTGAATGGTCTGTACCAGTAAGTCAGTTATGGAAACATGTACCTGGAATATCTGGATTCCCTTTGTGGTAAGCCCAAGAGAGAGGGAAGCCTCAATTTCTTTCTTGTCCTACAAGAGAGAAAATACACTTGCATTATTTTCTCACACAATGCGGTTGGCTGACACATCAATGACAACCTGAGCTGTACACATATTCACTAGCTGATTGAGAAAAGAAGCATTCCTATATCAAGACCCAAATGAAAGGAGGATTTGAGGGTTGTTGTTTTTTTTAGCACCGCAAGAATTGGTTGGACCACAACCATATAATCCTCAGAAAGACCAGGATGAAGATGCAGGAGTATAACCCACAACTTCATTCTCTTTCAGCATCATCCCTTTGGCACCTCCAAAATTATTTTGGAGTAGGTGAGGTCAGCATTTTGAGCTTGGAGGGTTTTCTTACTTTTATTTTGCTTTGGAGGAGTATTTGGAGGGAAGGCTTAGCTTTCCAACAAAATAGCTAGATGACACATACGGCAGCATCTCCTGCTTGCTTCCTACAAACAGCTAGCATTTGGAAGTACACATCTTTGCAAATAAAAGCTCCATTTAACAATTACAGCTGTATTTGAATATACCCAAAACACAATTCAATGAATGCCAATTGAGCAATGAATGTATCACTCTAAATGGGGTAATTTTGGATTCTTAAAAGACTGCACTGTGTAATTCAGTATCTAGAAAATATCAATATTTTTTTTCAATATCTAAAAATATATCCACTCCCAACATACACTATGTCATTATAAACAATCAGAGACTGTCTCCAGTCCTGGCTCTAATATTTGGGATGTGCACAGGTAAAGAAATCCATAGTGGAGCCCTTGAATTTGCAAAAGTCAGGCCCTACAGAGAATTTCATCCCAATGACCTTGAACAGTTCCTGCAATGTGGAACTTATGCTGCTATTGGGCAGTGCACTTCAATTATTTGAAAAATATTCAGCAAGCTAACGTATCACTCTCTGGATCAGGTTCTGGATAGCATTATCTTCTTAAATGCAAGATGGGAAATTAATTCTGGTCCGTTCCTATTATTAAGCCATCTTTCCTCTGAGCTGTGCACATTACTCAACTCACTGAATAATCCACACTCCCATTGTCATTTTGAAAAACATTTCAAACATTTGCTTGCAAAGCAATTACTAAAGGATCATGATTACATCCAACAAAGTTAGTGCCAGTCCAGGTAACATCCTCCTGAATCTCAGCTGCCAGGCAGCACAATGCTCACAGCTTAGGAATTCACCGCACATCTTTATCACCAGTTTTTGAAAAGGGGCTATTAAAAAAAACTGTAGCTTCTTAACTTGCAATTTAAAATGTGCCACCAAGCCTACACTCAAAAGAATTTTTTATTTTATTTTTATGATGTGAAAGATTCATATGATAGGTAAATGGTTAAAAATTACAATGGGGAGGCATCGTCCCATTAAAAAGGTGAGAAACGGCTGAACAGCGGTCACTTTACCCAAAGATTTGTTTGCGGTAGCCTCATTCCATACCTTGTACAATCTATAATAATGGACAGCTACATCATCCAACCGAACAGCTTCCTTGATGTACTTAAGGTGGGCTTCAGAGGCAGTCAGAGCACATTGGTCTTTGTGCATGATGGGGATGTGTTTCAGGATGTAATCCTTCCCTCTCTTGGCCACCACCTGTCAAGAAGAAAAATACATATTAATTATTAGGGTATGGGTTCATAATCTCAAGCACTTAGCTGTTCAACTATCTATTTAGTCAATTTATATGACTCTGGGTAACAGAGAGTATTAAAAAAGTAAAAGAAATGTGTACAAAGATTAAAATACGCAGGACCCAAAAAAACCCACAACAATCATTAGCACAGCCAGGAGACATCCCCCTTTGCACACTGATTGCAACCTTCCCTGCTCCAGATGACTTGGAGGCAATGAAAATGGTGCTTATGCATTTCCTGGGACATTTTAGGCATTAAAAGATTGTTCTATTTCAGAATAACCAAGGGGTGAAGAATATAAAAACAGCCCTGTTGAATCAGGCTAAGGCAGTGTTTCTCAACCTTGACAATTTTAAGGCATGTGGACTTCAACTCCCAGAATTCCACAGCCAGCAGTGCTGGCTGTAGAATTCTGGTAGTTGAAGTCCACATGCCTTAAAATTGTCAAGGTTGAGAAACACTGGGCTAAGGCTTGCCTTAATTCAGCATTTTGTTTCTTAAAGTGGCCAACCTCTGTGAGTTTGAAAGCGGGAGATGAGAATATGCACACCATCCACCACCGTTTCCCTTCAAGTAATATTTGATAGCATGCAGCCCTTAGCCCAGATGTAACAGTGAGTCTTCAAGACCAATAGATCTATCCGCTACAGCTGTCTGTACTAACTGACGTCTATGGCTTTCAAAAACAAAGCAAAGGAGAGGAGATATTAAAATACTCCTGGGAAGGTGGCTCAAAATGGAAACAGTGAGTCAACACTGTTGAGAGGTTATTATCTTCTTACCTGGCAAGTTTACACCAACAGTTGTCTTGGGAGTTGGCAGAAGTTGAAAAGAGGTCAGTTCACCTACTAGGAAAGCTATCAAGCCATGTTTCCATTGCACAACGGGAAGGTTTCACCACAAGCATTCGGTGCATGAAGCTGCCTTATGCTAATGTGCTACCTTGCCATAAACCAGACTTTCTCAACCTCAGCGTCTTTAAGATAGGTGGACTTCAACTCCCAGAATTTCCCAGCCACCACTGGGGCCATAATTCCAGGAAACCTGTCAGCACAGGCAAATAACTGCTGCCATGAATTCTGAGCCTGTAGTCCCAACATATCTGCAGAGCAGAAAGCTACATCTGCAAAAAGCAGGAGACATCCTTCCAGCATATGCCATGTTTCTTTCATAAAGAGCCCAGAGATAGTATTATATTTTGCATTTAATAGCTCATTTGCTACCACGGGATTATCATCTTAACGCAATTCCTCCTAGAAAGATTCCAAGATAAAATAGCCAGTTGGCCCTTGAATACATCACCTCTCTAAGTAATTGTTAAACTATTCTGTTATCAACTTTCCAGGAAATTAACATATTATTCCATAACATGCATCTTGGAATAACAGAGAAAGGTTTTGACTTTCTTCTCTTCGTATGGTTTCTAAAAGTTGCATTTTAGATTTCCCCTCTGATAATTGTCCTGCAGTGAAATTACTCCTTCCTCTTTCTGCTACCTAAAAAAGGGATCAAAAATTTGGGATGCAACTATGAAGTCATTTTAGCATTGATTAATAGTATTTTCACCTTGTGGAAGGAATGATGGGCTCGGCTGCTGTTTTTGTTAGGTAAAAACTAGCAATATTGTTATGTTTGGTAACTTTCTAAATTTTCTCAGAGAACATCCTAAGAATTTGGTGAAAGTGATCTTTGCATGGCTCTGGGTCTGATGCATCAGTCAAATCATTCACCAAGATATCAACAGCCTAGTGCTACATTTGAGTTTTAGAGATGCCTGGAGGTGGCAACTTAGCAGATTTGATATAATACAGTGGTTAGAACACTGGACGGAGAAGATGAAGGTTTAAATTTACTCCAATCACAAAAATTGGGTCAGTTATAATCTTTCGGCTTAATTTATTTCACAGAGTTGCTGTGAAAATAACATTGGATTATGTAATATATGTATTTTGTTGTGAGTCATGGAATAAAAGATAGGATATAAATTTTAAAAATGTATCTGGTCTCTACAAAGAAATGCACATGGTGATTATCCAGATAGATTTGTCTATGTGATGGTAACTTCAAGGATGATGATAAGAAGATGGGCCACATTTGGAAAGTTGGCTCCTTCCCCCTTAAGCCAGGCAATCTGAAGGCAATAAAAACAGTTAACTGACTCCTTCTCTGCCTCCTCCACCCATGTTGCTATACTGCTCCAAACAGGCATGAATGTCTCTGTTATGCGTTCCCCATGACATCACCCTCTCTTTATAACTAGAATCTATTCTAGGGATGCCCACAGCTGCTGCATCCGCCACTACCAAACATTCCAGCTGAAGCATTGGCTGCCACAATCACTTAGTACCACAAGGCACAGCCAGGGAGGATATTTTCACATGCTCACAAACTCCTGTTACCCCATCACTACTCTTTAACTCCAAGCAGGTACTCTCACTTCATGGGCCCCAATTTTCTCTTCTTCACTTACTATCCCCTGCCTAGCTCATACATTATCCCAGAAACATGGGTAACCACAGGTTACCTCTCCTTCCTGAAACTATGAATGATTTCTCTGATATGGTTACAGTTAACCAACTTAAAAAAGACAGCCCAATCTCTAAACCAGAGTTCCCCAGCCTTTTGGGCACCAGGGACCGGTTCCGTGGAGAGAGGTTTTTCCGCACACTGGAGGGGGTGTGGTTTTGTGTGCTGCTTGCATTCCGCAGATGGGGCTTTGCTTGTTTGTGCGGACCTGTTGCTGGCATGCCGTGGCCCAGTACCGGTCCATGGACCGGGGGTCGGGGACCCCTGCTCTAAAGTACCTGCTTCCCTGGGAACAAATATCCACATGAAGTAAGTTATGATCCAGAGCAAAGAATCATATGCATAAATAAAAACATCTTGCCTCTGAAGCAAGGGTAGCACATGAGGTTCCACTACCTGACAAAGAAGGGGATCTACCTCTCTTTTACACATCACAGCTTCCATATCCTCTCTCCAACCTATAACACCATCAATATCTCCCTGTGATGATTTTCGTTATTTTGGAAGCGTGTCCCAGATACGGCATTCCAAATGAAGTTATGTTTATTGTGAAGATAAAATTAAAAGAGGAGATTTTGTTCGTAATACCTGGCACATTCAAACTCCTTGTCAGGCTAAACCCAAAAATGACACAGAACAATACAGCCAGAGTTCCGTTTGCTTACAGACAAACAAAGAATCTTGCTAGACTAAACCCTTACTAATGGATATACTCTGGGAGATTCTATGGAGTAGCTATTCTAACTATCTCCTATCCAGCTCCGGGCTATGGTGGTTCTTGTTTCATCCTCCTCCTTCCAGGGAAACTGCTGCTTCACTGTTGTCCATCAAAGCACCCACCCACCCTCTGTAGGCACCATTTCTCACACTATTTTTGATTCAGAGGAGTTACTTCCAGAAACTGCTGGGCGCTACCTGGAACTGCAGCCCAGAGGAGGTTCCATGTGGCCCAGAGGGGAAACAGAACATTCCAGAGACTGCAGCCGCTGAATGGCTGTTGCCCCTACAAATGTTTCTGACAAAGGCTTTACAGAAGACTTACGCATGCAGAGCACATGTTTGTTCATATACAGACAGTCCTTGTTTAACAATGGTAACTGGGACCCGCAACTCCATTGTTAAGCAATGCAGTTGTAAAGCATGTCACACGACTGCAGTTGCAGCAATCTTATCAATGTTAGGTGAATTCCGCAAGGTTGCTGTGTCTCACGTGATCGCCATTTGCCACTGCCTGCTGGCTTCCCCACTGACTTTGCTTGTCGGAAGCTGGCAGTGAAGACTGCAAATAGTGATCATGTGACCACGGGATGCTGTGGCCATTGTAATTGCGAGCTGGTTGCCAAGCGTCCAAATCATAATCACGTGATTGTGGGGATGCTGCGAGGATTACAACTACCAAGACTTGCCGTAAGTCCCCCTCACTTAGCATTGTCATCACTTTGAATGGTTGCTGAATGAGCAGTCATTCAACAAGGACTACCATAGAATATTCCAGCTGAATCCCTGACATTTTTATTCAAAAGGATACAGGAGTAGGTGATGGTGAAAGTCCCTTCCTATAAATTTGGAGAACTGTTATTATGCTACCAAACCAAACTTGATTACATGGACAGGTGCTCTGATGTAAGGCATGTTGCACCTTGTTCCTCCCTCTTATGACAACTTCTTCAGTAAGTAAAGTCCAAAATATTAGACTCATAATTTTCAAATTGTGCCCCCACGAAAGCAAAGCTCTTTTATTATCACTGAGTTCCCCTTGTAAAGTACTGTTTTAAGGAAGCCCTAATTTTCTTTGTAGCATCTCTTAATTCACAGGGATCCAACAGGCCTCAACAATTAGCTTGTTTTAGAATTTTTTGCAACATACCACTAGTTACTGGAAAAAGCCAGGAAGCCCTAAAGCCAATTTTACAACATACACCTCATCCTTATCTATAGCTTCTGAGTTCTTGTCCAGCTGATTTGAAAACCATACAAGCTCTTATTAAAATTGGTCAACTGGAACAAACTCCTTTGGTATTTCTGTCCTTTGCACAGTTGCTATCACAATTGCTTCAAATGGCTAAGCACATCGACAGCAAAGTTGACCAAACAGCCATATTTTCTCCCTCCCTTTACCATTACAAAAACTAAGCAGGGAGACTCAGCGGCCAAATTTCTGCAAAAACCAACTTGGCTCTGGCAAAGCTGAAAAAGCCTACTGTGACCTTCTACATTTTATCCAGCTGCTGGGGACACTGTCCAACTCTGTACCGAAAAAGCATTTGCTGCCTGAAATGTTTCCGGAAATGGCCAACCTCGCCCCACCTACAGGCTTGGTTTGTGTTTCAACATTCAGAGTAAACAAAAAACATGCCCTTAAAGACAAGAAGGTGGTCTTCGAAGGCGTCCTTACCCATGCAGGAAAGTATGCCTCAGGTTCAAAGTATTTCCCAAAATGCTTGTTCCTTTTGAAATTGCCCAGGTCAGCCTGCAATGCAAAAGCTGCTAGAAGGAAATAGGCCTCTTCGCGCAACATGCACTGAGAACGTAGGACTTGTTTCCTCAGATGCCAGTAATAATAGTAGCGTGCAGTTCGGTCACTGGACAAAGATGAGAAGATGAAAAAATAAATAAATACAAGAAGAAAAAAATGAGCAAATGTTTCAGAACATGGAGCAAGAAAACCAGAGATAAGGAGTACACTGTAAGAGAAGAGTCTATGTGCTGATCTCAATTAGCAGCTTTTAGATACTTGATGGCAGAGCATTTTAATCCTTAATCTTAGCTGATTTAAGGCTTTATCAAAAGTTTGGAAGAATAATATACCATCAAAATACTTTAAGCCTAAGGTGTAGCAGCACCTCAAAGTGAGTAGAGGAGTTGGGGACCAAAACGTCAAGAAGGCCACTGCAACAACACCACTGAGGTCACCATTTTGACTTTTATGTGCACCCTTTGGGGTAGGCCAGGTCAGGAAATGGACACCATAAGAAATAGCGGTTTTGTGTTATATTAATAGTTTTATTGATAATATTTATTGACAATATTTCTCGGATCTGGCAAATTTAAGACATGTGGACCTCAACTCCCAGAATTCCCAGTCAGCATATCGAAGTCCAAGGTTGAGAAACATTGATAATAGAATCTTGAAAGTCTGGCAGTGTTTGCCCTTCCATCCCTCTTACACCAAAGAGAGTCAAGGTGTTTCTTTCTTAGGCCTTCCTATTTTCCCAGGCTAAGCTTATGTTTTTCTGGAGGTAGCTGCACATTTTTTTCAAGGCCATCTCAACTCTCCCCTACAAGTTGACTACCTCTCAGACCGTTTTATTACTTTATCAAATTTAGGTAAGCCTTGAGAGGGCTTTCATCTTCAACGACAGCCTGCAGATATTTTAAACAGTTAAATAGGACAAGTAATCTTGATGAAAAAAATCATGCCAATCTCAAAGAGACCCATTGCTGAAGATCTGGTAATATGTCAGTGCAACTTTTCCCAGTCTATGGCCTCTGTATATGTATTGGGATTATATCTTTCCAGATTTCCTGGTAGAAAGCTGAATGAAGTGATCAATAAGCTAAAATATTATTTAACTTGTGGACAATTCTGAGCACCAATATTTATTTTTTTTGCAATCCTCTAGTACAGGGGTAGGCAACCTTGGCTCTTTTATGACTCGGGGACTTCAACTCCCAGAATTCCTTAGCCAGCCATGCTGGCTCAGGAATTCTGGGAGTTGAAGTCCACGAGTCATAAAAGAGCCAAGGTTGCCTACCCCTGCTCTAGTATCAAGGCTTTGAACAGGACTCTCTGATGAATACACATTTCCTCCACTCTACGTTATTTGGCTTCCTGAAACTTACCTGATCAAGCGACCGTTCTCCACATAATACTGCACTCGAAAGTGAATGACCATTGGGGGACCAAACTGGTCTATACCCTGCAATAAATAGCAAATATAAATGTCAGTTTCCAGACTGAGCAAAGGGAGGGCCATAAAAAGACCTCTGCTGGATCAGTCCAAAAGTATATCTAGTCCACTTTCTATTCCCGCAGGGGCTGCTGAGATGGCCCTTTGCAACAACCTCTCGCTTGTGTCCAGCCTTTAAAGGATATCTCCTCTAATAACCAACAGTCAGCTACATCCCTAATGATGAGTAATCTTTATCCAGAAACCTGAGATCCTATTTTTTCTAATTATTCTGTCTGTTTTTATAAGGAGCACCAGCTGGAGGCACACTATGATGGAGAAACAGAGCTGGCTAAATTGCAATCTTCTTTGCCAAGGAAATTGGCAGAAGTGTGCACGAACACACTGTTTACAATATTTTGTCCATCAATTAGCAATTGGAATGAGACCTTAACCCAAAGTGATGCCTGAGCTTTACTCTTTGGTCTTTTGTCTGGATACAGCAAATGATACAGTGACTTGAGGGAGGGCGTGTAGGTCAAATCTCACAGGACTCCAAATGTTAATTTCATGAGATATTCCCTGTACTACTTTTAATTTATCTTGGGGCAAGCTCAAATTTTTCTGGGATCTCATTTTATAAATAAGCGCCGAGATCTCTGAAGCGTCTGGCACAACTGACTGATTTATAGATTATGTTCTTCACTGTATCATTTGTTTTGGAGTGCATGATGTTACTACATTTTTATGGTAACTGGACTCGAGTCAGTTTTATGAGTGAGATGGGAAATCAGACTGAGAAATGAATAAATTGTGGAATTAGAGAACAGGGAACTTTTGGTTAATATTTCATTTCTTAGAAAATTGCCTATCAACTTGAGATTACTTGGCTTCTATTTATTTACCATCTTATTTGATCTGAAAAAATGAAATAGAAGTGTCTTTAAAATGGCTCTGAGGCTAAATTAAAGCTGCTGGCTGTTTCATTGTAAGACCAGTGGGCCCAGTGGGACCCCAATGCAATGCCCAGAAGTAACAATGTGTCTTCAGGACACACTCTTGGAGTCATTCAGGCTTCAAGCCATAACAACTTTCATTAGGATCCTTACTATGTCCAGAAGGGGCAGGACTTACTAAAAGACCTCAAAGATCACAACTTAAAAAATTAGCATAGGCTAATTTATTTGGTTTAATTTAGTCTACTGCTTAAAGTAGTATTCCAGGTCATTCAAAAATTCAAGATGTTTTAGAGCTTGAGCCATGGTGGTATAGTGGTTGGCATGCAGTCCTGCAGCATACTTCTGCTGACTGCCATCTGCCTGCAGTTTGGCAGTTCGATTCTCACCGGCTCAAGACTGACTCAGCCCTCCACCCTTCCAAGGATGGTAAAATGAGGACCCAGATTATTGGGGGCCATATGCTGACTCTATAAACCTCTTAGAGAGAGCTGTAAAATACTATGAAGCGGTATATAAGTCTAAGTGCTATTGCTATTGCTATATAATAAACCTTGGGGTGGATATCCTTGTCTGCTTTTTTTGTTGCCTTCTGTGCCATCATTATGGTTTTCCTTTTGTGAAGGGGCAATTTTCTCAAATTTCACCTTTGCTCACTGGCCAAAAAGCTTGAGCTCCTCTGAGCTAATTCAAACCATTTTGAAGGAGACTGTGATGGAGTTGAATTTAATGAAGGTGGCTGAGAAAAATGCTCCAAGGATGCCCCTTCCTGAACCAAATCCCTTTCTAGTTGCTGCTCATTCTCTTGCTGAATCATTGAAAGTTGGGTGGCATAAAAGTTTAAATAATCCTCCTCCTCCTCCTCCTCCTCCTCCCCCTCCTCCTCCTCACCACCACCACCACCAGGCATGTAGAGATTTTGTAGTTTTTGCAATTTTCTCAATTCTCTGATTGCTTCCAAAGACATTGCAGATATATGGGCAACACTAGGAACCACACATCTATAATGGCCCAGCGGTTGATATGATCTCACTAAGGTCACAGATGTCCAAGGATACTGGCTTTTACTTTTAATGCATATAATTAGGAGCCTGTTGATGGGCTTATGATGAAAGAGTATATTCACACACACACACACACACACACACACACACACACACAAAATTGATCCCCATTGTAGCTAGGAACATTCAATATTTTGGGCTTTTGAGTTCATGCAGAAATTGCCTTTAGAAGCTGAACCGCAACTTGTGTTTCTCTCTCAGATGTTCACTGTGGGAGAACCATCACTGTGAAGTAACCCCAATGCTGCACTTGTGTATCAGATAACTGACAATGAGGTCAGGCGGCCCTTCTAATGCCTCACATACAACATATGGTGGGATGAACAAGGCTAGAGTGCATAAACTACTAGCCACAGCAATGGCAAAGAAAGGCAAGTTTGTGGTGTAAATAGGCAATTGCTCCCTACTTCAATCCTCCTGACCACAAACCAGAATGGCACTCCTACCTTACTCGCTTCTTTCTTCCATTCTTTTGGGCAGTACTTGTAGAGCTTCTGGGATAATTCCATATATACATGCTCATTATCTGCCACAGAAAGGGACAAGAAGATTGTATTTTGTATGCAGGCTGAGCAAAGCGTTTTCTGACATTCTTTTAAAAACAGTAACAATGATGCACTTATGACTAAGGAAAGCCAAGCTTATAAAAGCTGCTTTTGTGGACCAGCTGAAGCATTTCTACTGAGAGAAAAAAAAAGATAGAATTTCCTCATGAGCTTTCCTTCAGGAAATTGACATTTTAAAAAACGGCATTCAATAATTTATTCTTCTAGCACAACTTGTCCATTTTTTTAAAATGTTGCAAAAATTGCATATTTGCATATCTATTACAAACAATATAGCAAGGCTAATGACATTCTTTTGTTTGCTTAAGAAAGTTTGATTCCTTAAGGAGAATCCTGATAGCTCAATGTTTCTATACTTTTACTCTGATACTTCTATGGTAAAGGTCCAAGTAGCAAACTATTACCTATTCAAGGACTCTAGTATTTTATTTTATTTTTAGAAACAATTATAGTTTTTGCAAGGTATGTCAACTTTAAGTTGTAGCTTCAGCCCATTGCTTCAGTTTATAATCAAAAATATTGACCAAGTTTGCATATTTGGCTGACATAGTTTACTTACATTTATTAAATAATGAAGACTTGTCTTGGTTCATGTAATGCACTGAGATTTTAAACCAAATGGATAGATTCTTACAGTGGTTAAGCCAAAATCAAACAAACTATGATACATCTTAATGAGACTATGTATCTAGCCTCTGATACTTATATAGACTCCTGCCGACTTCCTGGACTAATCCCTGCAATTTTCTTGGCAAGATTTCAGAAATGGTTTGCCATTGCCTCCTTCCTGGGGCAGAGAGAGTGACTGGCCCAAGGCTATTCTGCTACATTTGTGCTTATGCTAGGAGACTAGATTTCTGGATTTGTAGCCTGGTAGCTTAATCACTACATCAATACTGATCTATTGTTATGTTATACTTGAAAGTATTACTTTATAATTCTTCATCAATTCAATTTTTCTGCAGCAAACAAATATCAAACAATATCAAACCTGTGCAAAAAGCACAGGTTTAACAAAGATCAATGATCCAAACACAAAGTTAGTAGAGAATTACAGAAATAGCATTGTTTAATTTAGACTTACTTTGTATCACACTGAGCCCAAAGAGATGCCCATCCTTCAGCCGTAGCAGGTCACAAACTTGGATAAGTAACTCATGGCACAATATTTTAACCTACAGAATGCAAAGGAAAGGGAAAATAGTTCAATCTGTAATTACTTTAGCAAGAATTTCAGGGGAAATTGCAAGGAAAGTTATTGTGCCATTATTCTTATTTGTATTAAGGAACTACAATGATCAACATAAAACAAGAACAACTCAGGTAGGTAAAATACCACAAACTCAACTTATTCAAAGTAAACCTAGCAAGCTATGGCCAAAGCAGGCTGAATTATTTATATAACAAATTACATAAAAGCAAGAGTCCCCTAGGCTTTCACAGCTTGCTAACTTTTTCTGATTTCATCTGACAAAATGCTACTCATTAGAATTCATCTAATCTTTCTTCTTTTTTAACTGATAACAAATAGAAAACTAGCAAAATCCATCACACTGAGAAGTCCTCAAATCTTATCTTTTGCTATTTTGTATGCTTAATTGAAGAATTTGGACTTTGTGAGATTTAATTGTGAGGAGCTAGGGAGAAAGAGGGCACCTGCTTACATGTATCAATTTGGTGCCAATTTTGATAAAAGAAGGTAAATAAAATACGCCAACCCACTGTGACATTATCTCATTTCCAGCAGGTCTCTCTTGATCCTGCAAGATCTTGTCAGGAAGGCACTAAGCCAAACTTAGTAATAAGAAGGGAAAAAAGAGCAGTGTAAGCCACCTCTTAAAAAACAAACAAAAAGATACAGAAGAAGAGGATGGAGAGTGGTCCAATTAGGTTAAAAAAACATAGGACAAAATTCTAATTCCTAAAAACTCACTGAACTGAAGAATCATTTGGCCAGGAAATGCAGACATTTTTATACAGCAAAAATGGAGAATATTTATTGCTTAGGATGGAATTTCTTGGTTTCTGGTGTTTTCTGATCTTGGTGTTCTTCTGGCAGATATTTTATTCTCAGATTAGGTGAATGTTACACAGTCTAAAAATAAAGCATCTGCCAAAAGAAAACTGAATTAGGAGCACATCAAGAACCCAAAATTTTATTCAACACCAAACAATCACGATATTAAACTCGAAGCCTCCTATTTCCAAAAACAAATCTGTTCTTATTGCTGAGCTGAGATAAACAACTTCTGGAAGAGAAATTGAGATATGGTAAGATAACAGCTGCTTTTTTTTTTTTTAGTTGACAGAGTGTTTTAAGGACAGCAATGAGACCATGAAGAGCTAGAAAAGTACTCTTATTTTGTGGAAGTCAGCAATGTCAGGAGCATTTGTGGAAGATGAGTTTCAGCCATCCTAAAATGTTTGCACTGGCTAAACAATTTGGGTGATGGATAGATTTATCATTTGCCTTCTTAGAGGTAAATCAGATTTTTTTTTTCATCAGATAAAGCAATGCTGGATACCTTCAGCTTGACTGAAGAGCATCCAGGGGGCAGAGGGGAGAAGGGATAAAAAAAAAGGGAAAGCTAGTTTAACCCTTTTTCTCCCCACAAATTTATCAATACAAAACTGCACATTAACTCCATTTGTGGTTCTTCCCAAACACAAATGATGCATTTTATTTCTTAAACAGAAATCAAGGGATGGGTATTAATAGCAACAAAAAAGCTAGAAAGAAAAGAATGATAGAAGTGTGGCTTAAGAGCAAGACTTAATATTGCTGCAGTTTCACAAAAATACAGATACAGGAAGTCCTCAACTTAGAACAGTTCATTTAGTGACTGTTCAAAGTTACAACAGCACTGGAAAAAGTGACTTATGACCATTTTTCACACGACTGTTGTAACATCCCCATGGTCACATGATCAAAATTCAGATGCTTAGCAACTGACTCATATTTATGACAGTTGCAGTGTCCTGGGGTCATGTGATCACCTTTTGCCACCTTCTGACAAGCAAAGTCAATGGAGAAGCCAGATTCACTTAACAACCATGTTATAACTTAACAGCTGTGGTGATTCACTTAACAACTGTGGCAAGAAAGGGCGTAAGATGGAACAAAACTCACTTAAAACTGTCTTGCTTAGCAACTGAAATTTTGGACTCAATTGTGGTCGTAAGTCAAGGATTATCTTATCTGTACAAGATTTGGTCCTCTGTAACTCTGTGTGCCTTTGTACGGGCTTCAGTCCTGTTTATGGTCTTTGAAAACACATACCAGCAAACGAGAGCTGGAGGCACAACGTTTTGGGTCTCAAGAGAAGCATGCTGGAGATAATAAGATGAATCAAAGTAGCATTAAGTGCAAAACTGACAAAACTATGAGCAGCCCCCAGAACTCTCAAAGACTGGCTTTCAGGTAGTCCTTGCCTTACAACTATTTGTTTAGCAACCATTCAAACTTACAATGGGGCTGAAAAAAGTGACTTACAACAGTCCTCACACTTACGTCTGTGCAGCATCCCCATGGCCATGTGATCAAAATGTCAGTGCTTGGAAACTGGCATGTATATTCAGGATGGTTGCAGCATCCCAGGGTTTTTGCAACCTTCCCAAGCAGTTTCCAACAAGCAAAATCAAGGGGGAAACTGGAATTATTTAACAACTGCATGATTCACTTAACAACTGCAGAAATTTGCTTAACAACCACCGTAAAAACATTGTAAAATTAGGTAAGAATCACTTAGCCTAGCAATGGAGATTGTGCTATGGGTCCCAATTGTGCTTGTTAGTCAAGAACTACCTGCATTAAGATTGGAACATAAATCACCAAATTACCATGATGCAGTTTTCTGCTCTCACATAGGTTGTGTGTTTAAAGAAAAATAGATATTCAGACACTCCCATGGGTGACAGTTCACTCACATTGATAATGATGTTGAGGGAATCGTCATTGGGGAGGAAAATACAGACACTTCGTCGGTCCTGCATGATTCTGTTATTGTGGAAGTTCAGTTTGTTCATTGTGTTCCAGCCCCTCTCTGTAAATGGATGAGTGAGCCACTCTGAGACTGTGCAGGAGACTCAGGGGCACAGCTGTCAATAGAGAGGTTCTCTTTGTCACCCACGGCAGAGCAGGTAGGACAACCCGGCATTTCTCCCCATAGGCACCATGGCTGGAAAGGAAGAGAAACAGAGAAGACGTTAGACCCTGCATAGCACCAGGAAGGGATAGAACGATTTTGCCCACTTCGCCAAACTAAAGGATGCAATGATCAAGCTAAGATCTGCTCCCTCTTGTATGATGCAGCTCCATTCACTTTGCATCATTGTCCCCAAACTATTGTTGCAATCCCCTCCATCATTAAATAGGTCTTCCAAATAACACAGGGCTGTCTACACTTGCTCTAGGTCAGGGGTGGGGAACTATGGCCCTTTTATGACTTGTGGACCAACTCCCAGAATTCCTGAGCTAGCCATAGGCCTGATGAAGAAAGATGATAGTTTCAGGAAGGCACTGACAGGACTCTAAGCTCAGTTATCCTTGTAGTGAACTTGTCAAAAGAAAATTTCCCCACATGATGATTTCTGAGCACTTCTTCCCATGGTTTGTTAGACGTCACTTGCCTTAATTTCTTGCTAGCATGGCAATTTGGCTATGCTGGTGATGGGGAAGAGGGTGGGGATGGGAGCTGAAGTCTCAACAAATCTAGGTTGGGAAATAAGATCAAAAGTGTGGTAAATCCTAGATTATTTGCTCATTCTGAACAGATTAGAACAAGTATGCTCCAAACCAGTTGCTTTGATATTTCTATAATTCTCTTATTAATATTAAGGGCGACACTTCGATTGTCAACATCACTTCTCCCCTTTCTTTGAAAATTATTTTCTGGAAGAAATTTAAAGCCAAGATTATTATGAGCCTTTTGGATTCAGATACTTAAAGAGCTTAGTCAGCCAGCTATTCACTACCAAAACTAAGTATGATAAGCATTAAACTACTGACTTCATCTGAAATAACAGGAAGCCCACAATTATGTGGGTAGACAGCTTATGTGATTTTGAAACCTGCCTTCTCTAACTTGGCACTCTGGGTGGCAGGGGATTGAAAATCAAAGTTTTGGGTCCAACAGATCCATGGAGCACCAGGTTGTAGAAAACTGTCAGAGCCTCCAAAAGAAATCACTGACCTACACCAGAAAATGGGAAGAGACATTCCCTTTGTACTCACCAGGCTTCACAACATGAATTTTAGAGTTGTCACAACATTGCAAGATATCCCAACGTATAAGCTATCTTGAATCATGTCTATATGGGTTCTTGACTTTTAGTTAAAGCTTTGCTATAGACGGCAGGTTTTTAATCTCATCGTTCTTGTGCTGAACCTTGTCCAACAGATTAATCTGCAAGATCATTTACTCTACAATCTTATATCTTATTACATTTGACTTCTTAAAAAGGCAGATTCAGATGCTACACTCAATCCAAAAATGCATGAAGAGGATAGCAGAACCATAAGGATCCTGACCGTAGCTTCCTAACATCAGGATCTGAAAGTGAGAATGACTCAGGATCAATAAATTCCGATGTGAGAATCAACTCCAAAATAAAACAATATTTGTAACATTTCTCCAAAATGCTCCAAAGTTTATTTACACTATGAGCCAAAAAACTACCGTATGTTGCCAGTGTTTAGGTCTAAAGTTGCAGGCTCTTAAAGGCCAAAGACTTCCAGACAAGGTATTGCTGCGTTGCCAGCTGCTTTGTAAGTTGTGAATCAGCACTGAAGCATCCCTCTTGCTGAAACCTTGTTGTTTTCTTACATGTTTCAAATCTTTTTGTTGCAATAGAGATTGCTATCTGAATTGTTAAACAATAGAGATTGCTATCTGAATAGTTAAACAACCAACTATCTCATAGCATTTTAAGACTACGATGTGTCACAGCACATGAGCTTTCACGGATCTCAGTTCACTTCATTTAATATATATTTTGATCACTTGCTGCTAACTCTAACAGTCTACTTCTTTGATTCTGACCTAATGCAAAGACAGATCAGAATTATTAGCAATATCAATCACATGAGAGTATCTTGCTGTCGGCTGTTGTCTGTCCCCTTAGCACTTGATGGCCATGGCAGCTACACCCTTCATTGGCCATATATTAGGCCTGTACTAGAAAGGGCTCTGTATGCTACAAGTAACAGTATTTAGATCAGGGGTGGGCAATTAATTTTCCCAAGTGGCCACACGAGAAACTGAGACTGTTGTGGAGGGCAGAACTAATAGGGCTGTGAAGGTGCATAGGCATGCACTCACAGAGGTACAGTAATTTTTTTTAAAAATACCAGTTGCCTTCAAAATAAAAGCAATGTAGTTGTATTACATGCATGGTATACACTTACTTACCTTTGATTTCTAATTTCTGATTGACTTCACATGGGCCAGACAGGGACAGCAAAAGGCCGCATGTGGTCGGGGGCCATAAAATGCCCAGGTTTGATCTAGTTCCTTGTTCACTCAGATTCTCCACTGCAATAGAGGGGGGTTCCCTCTACAGAACCTCTGTTGCATGTCAATTATATAATTCTTTGGTACTTAGCATTTTGCCATTGGGGAAGCCTAATACTGAATCCCTATTGATTCCTGAACTTCCTTTGTGGATTTGGGCCTCCTGAACTATTTTGTAAAGCTCCAATAACAGAAATATTTTTGAACTATGAATTAAATAGTAGGGTGAGAAAAGACTGCTTTGATGGAAACGTTACCTAGGCAAAAGAGATGCAACTTTTTTAAAGACCAGAACAATGAGCTAAGAGACTCAGGCAGATGCCTCTCTAATTAACTGGAGAATAAGAAGGGGGGGGAGGGTATAACATAATCAGACTATCAAGATTGTTATTATAGCCAATCCCAACAGAAGTTTTTGCCTTCCTGTGGAGCTATTTTCCTGGTCTCGTCTATCTAGTGAGGGCGACAGCTAAGATATACGGTAAGTCAAACCAGCTGGCTGGCTCAATTAGGGATTTGAAAACTTACAGTACAACAGTATTACTAAGTACACATAGACCAACCTTCTTCCTCCAATTTAGCACTCTCCAGATTGCAAACTCTGTTTTGAGCATTGCTGATGATATAATTGGTATGCTAGATCGCGCAAGAATGAGATTGGGTGAGCTTACAGTGATGACACAGTAGGGGCTCCTACAAATACTGTAACAAGCAGGAAAAGATATGGTGCAGGCACTGGGTAGGTTTCTGTGTAGAATTGGATCATGCCTTCAAGTGAGGTTATGTCATAGGTTCTTTTAATTTATACCCACTTTGGTGGATCAAGACAGAAAAAAGCTTAATATACACATAGTCCACATGCTCACATACTATTACTATTCATTCTTCTCCATTCTTCCCCACTGCTACTGTTACTCCATCAACTACTTCTTATGAGTACTGCTAGAGAAAAATCTCTTCCTCCTCTCTCTCCCCCCCCCATTCCCTCAGCTGTTTTGCAGGAAAGCTTTTATAGTTAACCTTGCCATGCAGCCTCTGGGGAGAAGGCTTAAAGAGAAGGGCGGCAAGCAGCACAGGTGTTGGCAATTTTCTTTTTAGGCAGCCTACTCTCTCACAGGCTGCTTCTGGTGTATCAATTACTTACTCTCCAATACCAACCCTTCATGAGCTTCTAGACCAGGGGTCCTCAACCTTAGCAACTTTAAGACTTGTGGACTTCAACTCCCAGAATTCCTCAGCCAGCTTTGCTGGCTGAGGAATTCTGGGAGTTGAAGTCCACAAGTCTTAAAGTTGCCAAGGTTGAGGACCCCTGTTCTAGACCTTGTCCTCGGGCTGGTGTTACAATTCCCAGAATTTTAGTCTTGCCCTGGGAAGGGAGTCTGGTGCAGCTTGTGAGTTCAATGCCTCCAGGGTGACCATAGGCTTGTTACAAATAATTGCAGCCCTAACATATGTGAGAGGGTACACACTGGACCTGAACTTTATTCAGAGCAGATGAGACATGATCTGAAAATAGAAGATTTTAACATCTGCCCCTGTCTGTCGTCAGCTTACTTCCTCATTTAACTGCACATCATGGACCTTTACAAGGCGGGTAGACTTATTCAGATGGCCTGCCCCAGTTATTTTATTTATTTTCTATCTATCAAATTTCTACATTGCCCATCTCACCTAAGTGACTCTTACTGGATGGATCCAGAGGGTTTCTAGAAAATTCTCAGGAAGTTCCCTGACAGTTTGATGGTCAGTTCTGTCACTTTGTCTCATCAATGGAGCAGAGACAGCTAGAGGGTGGAGGAGAGGATTCCAGCCTGGCTTCTGCCTGACTAATTTTGCACATTCCTGAGTTGGCTGAAGAAATGATTATATTTATTCATTATATACTTGTTTTAATAAGTGTCAAAATGTTGAACATTTTAAAGGAAATTAATGACTAGAATGTATTCCACTAATTGTTTCTGGGGGTGTCCTCAATCTGAGTGGATAAAATAACATTTAAAAAAATGAATGTATTTTCTTGCTTGACACAATCCATGCGGTTATTTGTAAGAGCTGCTCTGCTGGATCAGATCCCATTCATCACCTTCTAATATGGCATCCTTCCTGTCAGCAAAGCCAGTTCCCCACCTACAGCATCTTCAGAGCCTCCCACAGCCATCGCTGAAGGAATACAAAGCTTCTCCTCATTGCTATTATTTTGGTCCAATAATGGTTTGATGACTCTAGAAGCATGACAAAAATTAAATCTGCAGTCATATGAGTTGGCTTTAAAGCACAAGAAGCAGATTTTCAGAATACTATTTTCTGTAATTCAATCTTCAACAGACATGGGGGGAAATGAAAGAAACACACACACTACCACACTAGAATTTTGGCTACTCTGTCTTTTCCTATTTCAAACAGATGACTGACATTCGCATCTGAGAATCTCAATTGGTTCTTTTACTTTTGTGCTGTGTTCCTGATAAAAACATTACGGTCATCCCCAAGATAGAAATCTGCCTTTAAGCAATGGGAGAAGAAAGATCCTAATTCATAGGGAAATATTAAGAAGTGTGGTGGCTTATGTGGTTAGGATACTGGGTTGACAATCAACAAGCCCGCATTTGAGACCCAGTGCTATTGAGTGATGGGGCGAGCTCCCTTCATTTTCTCCCACTCTGCTG